GGTGCGGGCGCAACACCGAGGGTTGCAATCCCGTTGCCGGTCCCCGGTACGGGCGCAACACTGAGGGTTGCGATCCTGTTACCAGTCAGTAGAAAAAAAGATAAAAAGGAAAAAAAAGACATACATGCAGAAGATATAAGCACTGGATACTTGTGTCAGGCATTTCTGGAAGAGATTTGAAGTTACCATGACAATATCCTGCCAGAGGCATAAATCATCTCATAGACTTCCTTTGAGGGTTCAAAAAAAACTTCATTTAGTATACATTTTACACTCTGGCCTTTAACAAACAATCCCCCTTTCCAACCCTTACTTCTTTGATATTACCAGACAAAATGGCAGAGAGATAAATTCCTCTCCCTCCCCAATACTACCCAACAAGTATGCCCCTTCCTCCAAAGAAGAGCATGTTTCCCTTGAATAATACACAGTGGTTCCAAAATAGTTTGTTGCCTTCTTAGTAAACTACAAAATTAAACTTCTTAAATATTGATAAACAGTTAAAGAATATTACACAGAAAAAAAACTTCAAAGACCAGTCCAATCTTTTCTTTTTAGATGCAAAAACTAACGTCCATGGAGGTTAAGAGATCTGTCCAAGCTCATATTTTGTTAAGGACAGAAATGAGATTGGAAAGAACCCAGCTATAGACACCTTCTCCCACCCACCGGTGTGAACCTTCTTGCTTCTAAAAGGTGGCACTGGTTCCAGTCTTCACATCCTACATGCTGGCTGGCAAGGCAAGAGAGCTACATAAGGAAAATGCTGCTCACTCAAGGGTACAGCCTGCAGTACAAGGGGGGCTGGTGCCATGGCACTCTCCTAAGATTCCCCTCCTGCCATGTCATAGACATGAACATTAGAGACTCCTCCTGTGCTCTGGGTGCCCTCGGAGGCTTGTATCCTTCTATAATAGAGAATACAGAAGCCATGATACATCAGTGGCAATGGGCTTTAGCATCAGCTAGAAGTCTCCCCACCCTCACATGGGAAGACAATGCGAGCCAGTGTTGTTTCTCCTCATCTTTTGTGGAGCTCCAGTAGATGCTCCTGACAAGACAGCTGACCCTTCCCCATGGCAGGGGCGGGGAAGAAGATATAACAACTATACTTTTATGAAGTTGTTACAACAAGCAAACGGAAAGGACATTCTTGGGGGGGAGGGGAGAGAGGGAGGAGGGAGGGAGGTGTCGGCGATGGACCATAATAATCATATACATTGTATATTGACAAAATAAAAATTTAACGAAAAATAAAAATAAAAAATAAATAAACACTCCTCAAATTAAAAAAAAAAAAAAAGAAAGAAATAACAGGAAATGCTCACACACCAAAGGCTGTGGCTGCCCACCACGACTGGCTGTGCCTCATCCTAAGAAAAGA